CTATATAATTAAAAAAAAAAGAAACAAGAGAACAATTAGTACGAAGCCACAACAAAGCAGTGTTTATTATATAATAATTACAATGAACGTGTACAAAATGTTAACTAAAAATGAAAATACTCTAAAAGTTTGTTACAATCGCAACCGTGTCGTTGCAATAAGGGGAAAATAACAAGAAAGGTATTAATTAAAGTATAAACGTCTATATAAATGATATAAACGTCTGGCGATAAAAAATTAAATATTAAAGTCGTATAAAACTAATATACAAGATATGCATGGATTTTCACTTCACTAACGCGAATTTTGCTCGAAAGAGACAATCAGAGTTGCCGTTTAGCACCGTTCGAAAATTTTATCTTGTGCCTTTTAAATCACTTCAGAATTAATTCGACACATCAGAATTATGTAAAGGCTCGTCGAAACCGTTTAACATCTCGCCGGAGACAATGCCCCACTAAAATGGGCATTTATATGCAAAATAATTCATTATTCAGCATGCAGATGACCAGTTCATGATTCAGGCAAATTTACACATGCACTTACGTGTATATTTATTATGCGCAAGCTATAACCATATTTTAAGGGCTGAACACTCCTCAGCGTACTGAATGCATTAAAATTGAAAAACTTCATTACACTGAATATATAAGTGCTGCACTTAAATAAATTTATATATTAAATAAGTAAGTACTGCGTATTACAATTTACAACACACAAAAATTAAAAAAAAGAAGAATAGAAAGAAGAAGAAGAAGAAGAAGAAGAAGATATCGATTATTTATCGTTAAAAGCGAAGATGCATATTTGATATGCTAATACTTGGCGTATCAGTCTTTGTAAAAATAGCACAGTAGAGTAGGTACAACTACGATATAGTTGATCTTAGAGATCTACATATTAATTAAGTACATTTCGAATAATTTCGACTAAAAGTATTCTCTGAAAACATAAATTGTATGAAGGTACAGGTTGATTATAAAATTTCCTCAATGTTTGAAATATCGAATTAGAATATTGCCATTTTCAGCAAATTGTCAATTCAAGGACGTGGGGAATGTCTTTCAATATTTTTGAGATAAAAGTAGTGAAAGTCAAAATAAGGTTCGCATTATTGAAGAATTGAATTTCAAAGTCGAGTTGCCAGTAATTTCGTATTCGAAATTACAGTGAACTCGTCCGTGGATATTCGAAAATGTCGGAAGATCGCTCGATTCGAAGGGATCGCGTTGTCCACTCCCGATTTTGTCCCTTCATAGGAGTTTTCAAGATGGAGTCGAAGAGTTTGGGTGTCAAGAGTTAAGAGAGAAGCAGGAAGACGAGTCCGCTCAGTGCAGTAACCAATACAGCGGTCATGTACGACAGCGATATAGATAGTGATCGACGTTCAATTTGATTCTTGTACTCACCACGGATTTGTTTCATATATTTTTCGCTTCGGAATGAATTGCTCACGGACTCTATTAGCGTGTGAAGGCACCTCAGATTTTCTCTGCACGCGCACTCAACTTCAGTCTAGAACAGAGAATGGTAAATCAGTTTTTCGTTCGGCGAGCACAATTTTATTTCAAGATTACAGGCGAAGAATTTGAAAAAGTGGTATCGTAACGTTCGTTGTTTGAACGTTCAAATACACTTCTTCAAATTTGTCAGCCTACGATGTTGGAAATAAGGTAAATACTTAATGTAGTTTGTTAGTTAGAAAAGTTACGTAGAGCGTTAGTTGTTAAGAGCAAACAGTTTACTATAGTTTGTTATGAAGAGCTAGGCAATTAATAGAGGAAAAATATTTAGTATTTTAATACTCAAGTTGAAAATATTAAGATTGCATTAATTTAATCTAAGAATTCCATTTGTAGAAATTGTATTAACCACTCTAATTATCAAATTTAATTCAGGAAACCACTATATTGTATATTCCCACACACTTTTCTCCTTGGCATTAAAAATTTAATTTTCAATAAAAACATTATTGGAATAAAATCAATTTTCCTTTTGACACTATTAGCGCTTATTTAAAACAGAGACAAAGAAGTACCACAACCATATCCTTTATGAAAAGCATGCGAAAGCTGAATTCTTGAGTAAACATACCTCCGTAAAGACAACATGGATATATCCATGTAGCTAGTTAAAGACGCAAACACCGAGTGATATGTTTACCTCTGTGATTCGGCGACATACGTTGCGAAAGCAGGATAAGGGCAGAAGCAGCGGTAAACATGCAAGCAGTGGTTCTTACGCGCAGTTCGTTTAAAACGTAAAATTCGCAACGTAAAATGTGTATGATGTATGTATGTACAATCTGTATAAAGATGAGATGTGTGTAGTGATAAAATGTAATGATTATAATTGTGATTGCATTAATGTGTGATTTTGTTAATGTATAGTTTCCTAAGTTTCTTTATTGATATCTATAATATTCATTCATGAACTTACAACTCTAAATATAAGTACAGAGATTAACTATAATATTCAAATACTATAAAACTGGAAAAATCGTTCATGTACAGTTCTGTTAGCCATGGTGTCTGCGAGTGTGTTATTTTTAATGAGTATAAGTATTTCTTCTAAATGCCAGAAGCACAGAACTCATATATTTTACCCTTACACTATTCTTGTTAATAAATGACACATAAAATAGTGTCTAATGCTAACGTTAACATTGTAAAAATATTTACAGGCCTCCAATATATCAAAATTTAATTATTTAAATTATTAATTTATGACGATTATTTAAACAGTCAAATCCGGTAAAGACGCGTAAAGTCAATAGAAAAACAAAAGTTACTTAACACAAGCATCACTTTGTTTATCAATTATTAACACAAAAAGTATAGAATTTGATAAATAAATGTTATATTTATAGCATTTAGAACAATCTCATTAAAAAAGACATCCAATATATTGATCTTATAAATAATACTGATATCCAGCAATAATTTTCCAAGCACTGTATATTATACTGTGTATATATATATATTTTTTTCTATCAGTTTCTCCACTGATGACTATGACAAACATAAAAAAAACAGTACACATTTATGAGCAAAACGTCATGTAATATAACTGTCACTGAAATATTCTTCAAAAACCCGGTCATCAGTCTTATTTATAAAATTCACATAAATGCACTTACATATCGTATGCTTACAAAGATACTTTCAAAGTTCAATACCCCTGTCGTTTTCTAAAAAAGAAAAAGCAAAAAAGAACACTGGCGATTAAGGAAAAGCACCGAATTTATTACTTGGAGTACACAATACCGCAATTCGAAACAATGAAAGGCGTATCAATATTAACACGTTGACCGCCACGGTTCCAATAACACAAGTAATTAAATAATAGTGCAACTCAAGAACAATGATACCAAACCATTAATAACTCATTCCAATACAATGTGCCTTCGTTACGAAAAAACAAGTGATATTATACAAAATGCTTAAAATTCTCGTCGCAGTCAACATGTTAAAGTGTAATTCAAAATACTGATTGTATAGTCAACAGCAAGACTTAAGGAGCAAGAAGCAAAAGTGTCAGCAAACTTAACATTTTTGTTGGTTTCGTGTGACAGTCGTCGCTAAACTAAAAATAAAACACTTCAAGCAGTCATACGCAGGTACCAAGATGTTAATATAGGTGCAAACGTTGTTGTAGAAGCGACTGGCAAACGTGTTAACATTTCTTAGCAAAGTGACAAATAACTTGTACAACTTCTGGGCCAGCAAATACGGAAACAGAAACTTCGCTGGGAATATACGTACGCAATCCTCGGGCATTGTTCCTGTGCTTGACCTTAAGAACAGATTTTCGGCGAGCGTTAATTGCGATTGCGACTTTTCCACCACGTTTCGCACGTCCTCCACGTCGCTGTCGCTGTCTTCTGTGGTATCGGTGATTTCCTGTAACAGATTCAACACGGACTTTTTAATATTTTATTTCTCTTTGTTCAAACTTGTGGTATTGTTAAATATACAGAGTTACTAAAAACAGTCTATTGTACAAAATATTACGGATATAATATTAAATGATACATGAAAGAGAAGGGAAGTGGCCAATTTTAATATGTGGGATTACAAACTTCATTTTAAACGTCCAGGTATTGTTTAATATTATGTAGAATAGTTTGTAATACTTTGTGAATTGTATCTTTTTAAAACTTAATGATTGTTATGTAGTAATTTTATATGTAATAGGCAATTTATAAGCATCTATAAGAATAAATACAGTATTTGATGATAATTTTCAAGAACTGAAAGTTGATTTATGCTTTAAACGATTAATGTGATTAACTTTTTCAAAAAATGTTCATTTTAGTGTTTTAGTTTGGTGTTAGATAAACTCGAAAATAATTTTGTTTTCCTGAAAAATAATTTTCATCATAATATTTCTCGTATATTTAATGCTGCTCGATTCAATTATGAATTATTATTAAAATAAATTTCTATAATAGTTTTATCCCAATAAAACTATAAATTTGTTAATTCAACAAGTTCAAAAATTCAACAAATTTTATTTAAATTCGGTTTTCCTAAATCTCTTTGTCCAGATGTAAATGTTCAATTAAGTTTGAGCTATTTATAAATATGATATTGGACGAATCTAATAAATTTAGATCAATTGAAATATTTTGTCACGTTAAAATGATTGTGTATCACTGATAGGAAGATATTGGATTCAAACAGAGAATCTAACAGTGCCTCCGTGTATTCATGCCAGTGGTGCTCAGAACTTATCTGATCAGAAATGAGCTATTTCGAATTCAGTTATCACAGTTATCTACTGTTTACTAAAATCGAGATAAAGAATTCATTCTTTGCACACAAAGTGGCTCTAGTATTACAAGTATGCGCGTGAATCATTATAACTTTGAATATCGTTAAATGGAAATTTTCTGTCGTATAAAGGAATTTTTACTAACATATTAACGCCCACCAAAATATAGAAGGTACTAAACAATTGTACACTTGACTTTGTAATTATTAGCCGATAATTAAATAAAAGAAATTAAATAATTAATTAATAGTAAATAAAGTGTAACACTAGATATGTTGATTATAAAATGTACAAAAATGAAGAAGAAGAAAAGAAGGATGAAACAATATTTTAGATAATTTTACAAATGCAGTCTAGTAAGAAATAAAACCAAATTATACACAAATTAAAAAGGCATGAAAAAGCTGATTAAAACCACAGTCAAGTAATATTATTCGCACTTAAAAAAACTAAGTTTTTAGAAATGTAGGGAAAGTACGGTAAACTTATATTTAACTCTAATAATATAGCAAACTTATAGTTATTGGGCTGAGAATTATACTCGTTACGATGTGTAATTCATATATACCGTCAAATCGTACTAAATCTATTCAGTTACAAAGGAACAGCTACAGCGACGGTGCTGCCCGTAATTACATCGTTTACCCTCGTTAAAATGTCATGAACGTAGAGACGCATTTGTCTCAGACAGCTCTTAGTAAGAGACGGAGAAATTCAAACTGACAAATATACCGTGTCAAATAAATTATTATTTTGCATAAAATAATAATCTTCTATTATATTTTCTCCATTAAAAATAAAGTTACAATTAATATAAAGAATATGTAATAAACATGTGACTTTTATAAAAGAAGTTCATTGACAAAAATAATTTTTAAAACAATTTTAAAAAAGACATGCGTGAGCAACAAGGTAATAATTCAGTATAAGGTTTGCGAGGTCAGAATGAATTTATTATCAATGTGAAACCGTTCTATTCGTCAGACAATTGTAATCAAAGTTTACAAACGATACTTCATCGATACTTTTATTTCCATATAACTGGAATACTATAACACAGAGAAAGCACACTAGGACTAAAATAACAAGTGCACGACTTCGGTATATAATTGCTACTGGAAATCCAAGATACATCATGATCCAAATAAAAATTACTGAAAATCCATCGAGACTGAAATTGATCTTACATATGTAATTATGGATTATACCATAAAATAAATTCGCGTGAACACAATTAACACTAGATTTACGGAACGAGTCAATTTGACTCATATTGAATTTTATAAATATTATTCGGCAAATATTTAATTCGATTTTTATTGATGCAATTACACAAATATATGTTCTAATTATCTACTTTTAAACCTCTAATTTCCAAAATCTTAATCAACAAATATCAATGTCTCTAAGAACGATGGAACGACCAGTAAATGTGCATAAATCTAGTGTTAAGGACAACAAAAGCCATTATCCATAATATAACAACACAAATGAACTATTTCTGCATCGTTAACGCTAATGTGATAAATTATACCGATGTCGAACGTAAAAATACAATGAAATTACTTTGTATGCAACACAACGTAAAAATTATATACAGAATATGAAAAACATCATGTGCTGGTGTGTCTACTTCTAGCATCTACAAGATAAGCGGGAAATTGTGTGTTAATGTATCTGGTTGCAGTGTTTATAAAAGAAAAAGGAAATCGTGTGGAAATGTAGATATCACAGAAAGAATATGGACACTTTATCGAAAAAGAAGAACAGAATGGAACGTACATGGTGTATACGACTTCTAGGTAGCGGAGAACTAGTGGGAACTGCGCTCATGCTGGAAGCACAATCGGACTGACTATCGAGGAAGTTTCGATAATCATCACCAAAGTCCAACAATCTTCGAGCTGTTTCTACGTCCGGCGCTTCGCTGTACGGTTCGCTCATATACTTTTCCTAGCAAAAACAGATGAATAAATAATATTAAAAAAAGAATTAGTAATGGCAATGATGAAATAAAATAACTAACCGCGGAACGAAATAATTCAAGCAATAACGGGATGCATTACTGACGCATATGAAATTTCTAGAAATATAAAAGGATGGAGAATTTTCAGCAAAAAATATAAAATAATAAACCCCTCAACATCGAAGTCTGGATCTATTTTAGCCCAAATGTTCGAAGAATTTCATTCCCCACGTTCTCATACTTAACTTACATTACTAACTAATCATCTCAAATATAATACAAAAATCAACGTATCTTGTCGGATCATCACTTATACAAAAAGAAATCCTATCGTCGGACACTTAAAACCACCGGCCATCCGGTCAAAGAGCAAAACGAAAACGAGAAAAGTATCACCCGAGGATCATTTGTATACCCATTTCCTAGAAGCCCAAGAGAAATATCATCTCTATCCTCTAATTACGTTCAGCAACGAGCACGACCGACTGCCAGTATTTAGTGCCCGGCGGAATATCTCTTGGCGTACCGAAGAAAACTTTCTCATAAACGCGGGTCCACGGATTTCCTCGTATTAGAGGCGAAAGGCCGAGCAGCCGTCTTTACCTGATAGTTATCCCAGGCCTGCTCGGAGAACGAGTTGTTCCCGAGGCTGTTCATCTCAACGTCGCTGTCGACGTTCAGCTGGTGATTGGACAGAACCTTGTTGCTGAGAACGGTGTCGAGTAGGTTGTCGTCGTAGCTGAAGCAGCCGCGCGCGCAGTTTCGCTGATCCTCGCCCTCGGTTTCAGACGTGGAAGCAGCCGAAGTGCAGCAGGGCAGCCTGAACGGTGGCGTCGGGTCGCTAACTATCGTCCTCTCTGCGGACAGTTGCTGGTGGGCGGTGCACCCCGAGAACGAGCCGGACTTCACCAGCATCGTCAACCGTCCGTGGCAATCTCTCGAGATCGTGCGTATCGACCGGCTTCCGCTCATCTTCCTGGCGGACCGTTGCTGGTTCGACGAACTGCCGTCGCTTCCGGCGGAATTGTTCGCGTTCACGCCCTCTGAGCTCGACTCGCTCTTGCGACCCTAAATCGGCAGGGAATAAGCGATGATGAGGAATCGGTTCTATCCGATTTTACTCGGAGGATTTAACACATTCGCTACCAGCGTCACATATTTGTGACAGCCGTAATCCTATATTTTACATAATGAGAATGAAATTGATCCCATAGATATTGTTATTAGAAATTATAAACTACGACATTATATTGGATTTGAGAAGACCGTCAGCGAAAGAAGCGCTGGTAGCGAACGTGTTAACACGTTCGCAACAACGGTCGAATGTGGAACATTCTTACTGTGGGTCATGCCAGTTTTGCAACTGTTTTGGGTGATATGTTATTCATATAATTTATACACATTTATAAGTAAAACTACCGAGTAGTGAAATCAACTTTGAAATTCCTCTATAGAAACTCCAAGACTGCATCTATTGGGACTTTAATTACTTTCAATTTCTTTAATAATTTTTTAGAGAAACAGCTGTTAACTTTTTAATCATTAGGAGAAGGAGAAATCAGGAATGGGTAATTTTGACCCGTCTGGTAGTTATATGTGTGATGTTTTGAGAAAAGTGACAGTAGGGAACATTGTATGTGAATTAATGTTAATATTACCATAGCAACGGTAATCAGCAGCGTCACACATATGTGACGAGTTGTCGCGAATGTTTAGTTACAGGAGTGGTTGATCGTTTAACCCTTCTACAATACTGAGTGATAAAGGAATAGGAGAAGGAATAACTAGATCCAGAAGTCGAACAGTGTTGATGATCTTTTGCACTCGAGAGGTGACTCTTAGTCACTATGTGATTTAATAGAATAAAATTATAAAGGCTTATATAGGGTGTCCCAAACAAAGTCAACTAAGGCATATGTTTATTTGAACTTCTTTTTATTGTTTTGATATTCTGAACATTTGCATCACCAGAATATTTCGGTAGCTAGTCTCAATTGCTTTGTCAACTGAGTGTTTGAATAATAAAGGATCTTTTAAATTATGTAAAAAAAATATGTGAGTTAGACTGATTGACTTCTGCGTATGATAAGTTGTGTAACTTTAGGTTAAATTTTGAATTGTTTTAATTTTAAGCAAAAATGCTTTAATTTAGGAGTCTTTGCCACTGAACAATTTCTTGAGTAATGATGTTTGTTTTGCATTCGAGTCTCCACTTCATGGTATCTTATAATGAAGGATTTAAAGTTTTTAGATCACCAAGATTTAAATCTTCAAATTTTTCTACATTCTCTCGTAGAAGATATAATGATGAATCCAATTAACTATTACAATGCACCATTCCTCCCATCCAATCGCAAGATACTTGCTTTAACATTCTCAACGTCATTGTGCGTTATCAAGAAACCGAATGGACCACTAAGAAAGTTATTAATACTCAGACATACTCATTGATACTCAGCCATTAAAAACGATAACCAGTAAAGTATACACCACATTAAAGGTATATTAGAGCGTTAGAATGAATAATTTATTTTTTCTTCAGTGTTCCTGTTATTCTAGTCTATTCTGCTATCCTCTAGAACTGTGGAGCGGTCAGCCGATTCTCCCCATTTTACTCTATTAAGTTTCTATCTACGGAGGAAATGAAAAGATGTAAATTATTATAATAAACGTACAACACCGGAAAATACGATACAAAAGATTACAGCAGCATGTGCTTCAGTTTCATCGCAGGAAATAGAAAATAGACACGCATCATTTACTATGAGATCTATTACTGTATCAGTGCGAACAATCACGATTTCGAATGTAACATGCAACCTCAAAAACTATAACTAAAATGTGGATATCTTGAAATTGATTAAGCGAAATATTAAAATGTTGTGTTTGCTGAAATTTGAATATTTATCCTGTATAAGAACATCCACAAATTAATTGTTCCCTTTAACTTATACTTTGTAACTGACACGTAATCGTTCTAGGATTGTAAAATGTGTGGATATTAATATTATATTATTATTATATTATACAATGTAATATATAATATAATATTGTATATTACATATAACCGAAATCAAAATACAAAATTAACCAAAACCGAAAAATAACAGTTATGGAATCATAATCGATATAATTTCTATTCTGAAGAACCCAAATTGAAATCGAGAGAAATCAGAAGCAATACACCAATTATTTCGGTTGTCCACAACTGTTTTCGTTAAGACCGATATATAACAGTATGAAACAGTTATTTTTCTTCTGAATCCTTGCCTTAAAGTGAATATTCAAAACCCGGCAGGATAAGACTGACATCAACAGAAACGATCCGATTGCCTGTCGCGGAAATCCGATCCAGTTAATAAGTTGTTCATTCGATGCCAGCGTGTCAAACTACTGAATACGTTTACAAGTATTCGTGCTGCACGAATTTTTGCAACAGAATACAGGAAACTCGTTGATTATTCCGTTTTTTTTGTCCATCAACGGAATTTTATTCCAATTTGCTTCTATTAACATCGTTGTACAAATTATCGTCATTCGCAGGGATAATTTTTCTATTTATTCTTTCTATTTATTTATAGCTGATACAGATCTTTGAAAACAAACAAGATAGAAATCGTACAACTTTGTTACTTTCAACTCCTTGTCTTATAATATTATATCAGACACGTAATAAAGATTTCAAACAGAATTTAACAAACATAGATGTTACTCAATTATTTTGAACTCAAATTTAATATTATTCATCTGTTATCAATTGTTATATTTCAGTGTAGACATACACGTGGGATATGCTTCGAATTTTTCTGTTTTTATCAATAAATTATCAATTGTACCGACCATAGTGCAGAAATAAATCATAGGGCCAGAGATTAACATAAATATTAACCTACTAAATTGCTCCACAGTTCTGAGTTTCTTCATTTCTAACTGAAATTTCTAAAAGAATCTGCTGTTTAGATTACCAACAGATATCTTTTTCGACCGAACAAATCACTTTATTGTATTGTCTCCCCAAAACAAAAACAATACTTATATTTAAAGAGTTATTTAAACTGTTTTCTTCCCCACAAACAACATTCCTTTGCTGATCGAAAAATAAACCTAATAAAATTCATCTAACCACGACAACCCAAACTAAAAAAAAGTCTGTATCAACCAAAGAATGAAGTTGCTATTTGAAAATATTCTCGCTTTTAATTCGTAAGAAACGCAAACGTGGCAATGCAACATGACGAAATTATGGCAAAAAGAGGAAAAACAAAACAAATAGTATGTGTACAGTTTGTTTCAACTCAACTTATCATTTCATTAGATTGCAGAAGGGTAAAACGCGGGTAACATGATCTTACCAGGTTCTTCTTGCGAAGTCTGCTCTTCTTGCGGCGCAACGAACTGTTCCGCACCACACGTCCGTCATGGCAAATGATCGATTCCTCCAGCAACGTAGATGTTGAATTATTGAACGATTTACGTGATCCCCTATAATTAGAAACACAGAAACGAAGGAGTCAAGAGGAAGTTAAAGTAGCTGTTTCAGAGAAAGTATGGATTCGCGATGATACGGTTTCGATCGCGTGTATCGAGCAAGATCGAATAGATGCAACCCAAGATGCTCGGCGGAAGTAAGTGTGTAATAAAACGATCGCCGTGCACCGCGGATTCTTACCGAAAAGATAACTGGAACTTACGTGTTTCAGTTAATTACGAGAAAAATAACTTTTGAATAATATCATTTCTGCACACTCTCGTAACAAACGCATAAAATTCTTGATTAGATAATATCGTTTCTCGCCTAACTTTCCATTAATATATAGCAATAGAATTTCCTGAATGGATTAAAAAAATTGCATAACTTAAGGTGATTGCATAGGAACACCGAGGTACTAGAAATCGGAAACATCTGAAAATATTAATTTCTTTATATTTCAAATTGACTTTGAAGTAATAAAATTTATAAATTTTAGCAATGAAATGAAATAAGTATATGTCAAAAAATCAATTTCGGAATACTGAACTATTGAAATGAGATATGTTTGAATAAAAAAAAACGAATTGTGTAAATGTAAAATGCATAATGTATAATGCAAAATGTAACGTATAATTTAAAATGTATAACGTACAATGTAATGGGTATCGTTTCAGAGTTAACCAAGCATCAAATGGAAAACCTATCGAAACCTACTCAAGTAAAACACAAAAGCTTCAGACATTTATTAAGAGACTGCAAACCTTAATGCAAAATGAAATATTTCTACCTTTCGAGTTCCAAAAACTGACATTGAACAAAAATGTATTTCCTCTACCAAAACTTTAACATAGTACAGTTAAAATCCAAACAATATTACATTAAACGGTATTTTGTATTTAACATACGCGCATAAAAATGTGCAATCAACTCATTAGCACTTTATACTTCAATCACGTGCACACTTAACATCACCAAAAACATTTCCATTATCCA